CCAGAGCTCGGAGCTGTGGGTCCCTGAGCTGCTCCACGATGAGGAGAAGCCCCACAGGTGCTCCGAGTGTGGGAAGGGCTTCAGCTGGAGGTCCCGCCTGCTCCGCCACCGGATGATCCACACCGGGGAGAAACCCTACGAGTGTCCCGAGTGCGGGAAGGGCTTCCGAGACAGCCCCCAGCTCACCACCCACCACCGCAGGCACACCGGGGAGCGGCCCTACGAGTGCTGGCAGTGCGGCCAGAGCTTCGGCCGGAGCTCCCACCTCACCTCCCACCAGAAGATCCACACCGGCGAGAGGCCCTACGAGTGCTCCGAGTGCGGGAAGAGGTTCCAGACCAGCTCCCTTCTGCTGGTCCACCAGCGCATCCACACCGAGGAGAGGCCCTTCCGCTGCCCCGAGTGCGGGAAGGGCTTCAAGCACAGCTCCCACCTCACCCGCCACCGGCGCATCCACAGCGGGGAGAGGCCCTACCGGTGTCCCCAGTGTGGGAAGAGCTTCAGGACCAGCTCGGTCTTGAATCAGCACCAGTGGAGACACCGGTAAGGGCAAGCGCCGCGATGCCGGACGGCGCCCGAGGCCGCGGGGTGGCTCCGCGTGGTGGAAAAACTTCTCCTCCGGCCCGAGCTGCCAGAGAAAGGCTCAGCGGTCTCTGAGGTTCGCTCTCGTGCTTGTTTATTGCGAATTATCCAAAAGATTTTCTTCTTGAGCTGCTGTGGATTGGTCGGCAGCTCAGGCAGAGGCACACACACACCCTGACATCCTCTCTGACTCCTCTTCTTCTTCTTTTCTTCTTCATCTTCTTCTTTGTCTTCTTCTCCTTCTTCTTTTCTTCTTCTTCTTCTTCTTCTTCTTCTTCTTCTTCTTCGTTGTCTTCTTCTTCTTCTCTTTCTTCTTCTTCGTCTTCTTCTCTTTCTTCTTCTTCTTTGTCTTCTCCTTCTCCTTCTCCTTCTCCTTCTCCTTCTCCTTCTCCTTCTCCTTCTCCTTCTCCTTCTTCTTTTCTTCTTCTTCTTCGTCTTCTCCTTCTCCTCTCCCCGCCCAGGGCTGCTGCTCTATTTTATATGCTACATTACGTGTTAAATGTTTATAGTTTTTCCCCAATAACTATTCTCTATATTAAATGATGCCTTTCTATCTTTTATATGGTGCATTACATGTTAAATGTTTACAGCTTTCCCCCAATATCTAAATTAAATGGTGGTTTTCTATTTTTTATATGCTACATTACATGTTAAATATTTACAGTTTTTCCCCAATGCCTATCACCTATATTAAATGGTGCTTTTCTATCTATTATATGGTACATTACATGTTAAATGTTTACAGTTTTCCCCAGTTTTACCTATATGAAATGGTGCTTTTCTATCTATTATATGACACATTACATGTTAAATATTTACAGTTTTTCCCCAATTTTACCTATATGAAATGGTGCTTTTCTATCTATTATATGGTACATTACATGTTAAATATTTACAGTTTTTCCCCAATTTTACCTGTATTAAATGGTGCTTTTCTACTCTAAACCAATCTGTGAGTGCCAACATCACCAAGAACAGGGAGGTGAGGAAGGAGAAAGAGAGGACAGGACAGGCCCAAATCCCAAATCCATCTTCAAACCTCTGACCCCCATGTACAAAACCAAAACCCCCCTGTACAGCACAATAAAAAATTCTTCCCTCTACTTTTAAAAATTTTAAAAACCCAAATAATTGGCGTTTTTCACAGGGTGTGCCCCTAAAAATGCCCAAATTGCTGCTGAGGTGCCCAGGAGCTGCTCCAGGCTCTGGATGTTCCTGCCCACCAGCGCCACGGGACCTGGGAGGGGCTTTGGGCATCCAGGGCAGTGAAAATCACTTGGTTTTTAAAAAATTTAAAAGTTTAATGCGAATAAAATGGTTATAGAAATCATAATGATACAATTAGAGTAATAAAGTTTAGAGTTAGGGCAATTACAAGACAACAAAAAGCAAAGAATTACGGACGCTAAGTCAGGAAAAATGTGACTTGTGATCAAAGGAATCACCTTAAAACAATACATTTATTATTATATAAAGAATATTAATATATCCTTTATGGTTATGCATAAATTCTATTTTAAACAAGAAACTCTGTTTTATGTGAACTGTTTCCTTTAATCTCCATGGTGTCTTCGAGTCTGAGCAAGGCCTGAAAAAAATTAGTTTATTCTGATAAAAAGCCATAAATTCCTCTCCTTTGGAAGATTTAGGTGTTCCTCGAAGCGAGTATTTAATACTTAAAAAAAAAACCTTCCCCCATATAAATAATCTCTATTTTAACATTATATTGGAACTTAGAACTCTAATTAACACAATACTTAAGAGAATTAATACAGCATCACTTTCTAACATTAACACATATCATGTTCATTGTAACATTTGCGAAAAGCCAGTCATAAAATACGCATTTTTCACAATTGCAAAATAAACATTTCAATTTTTTTCATTTTAAATTTGGCCGGACAAATTGTCATTGATAACAATATCATGGAAATCCTCCATGGGAATGCCGTTCCCGAAAATTCCATCAAGAAATCAACAAACCCCGAAAACGAAATGGTCCTCCCCAACAACAAAAAACAAAAACCTAATAAACCCCGGAAACCGAAAGGAAAAAAAGAACGAATGCCGAAAACCTGGCCTCAAGGGAAAATTTCCCTAAAAAAAACCAAATTTCCCCAAAAAAAACGAAATTTCCCTATAAAAACCGAATTTTCCCTATAAAAACGGAATTTTCCCTATAAAAACGGAATTTTCCCTATAAAATCCAAATTTTCCCCATAAAAACTGAATTTTCCCTATAAAAACCGAATTTTCTCTATAAAATCTGAATTTTCCCTATAAAAACTTAATTTTCCCTATAAAAACTTAATTTTCCCTATAAAAACTGAATTTTCCCTATAAAATCCGAATTTGCCATATAAAAACCGAATTTTCCGTGTAAAAACTGAATTTTCCCTATAAAAACTGAATTTTCCCTAAAAAACCCAAAATTTCTCTATAAAAACAGAATTTTCTCTATAAAAACAGAATTTTCTCAATAAAAACTGAATTTTCCGTATAAAAACTGAATTTTCCCTATAAAAATCTGAATTTCCCCTATAAAAACCGAATTTCCCCTATAAAAACCGAATTTTCCCTATAAAAACACGAAATTTCCCTATAAAAACCGAATTTTCCCTCTAAAATCCGAATTTTCCCTCTAAAATCCGAATTTTCTCTATAAAAAATGAATTTGCCCTATAAAAACTGAATTTTCCCTGTAAAATCGGAATTTTCCCTAAAAAACCGCTTGTGCCAGGATGGGCGTGTGGGCATAGGGGAAAACCTCTGCTGAGGCTGATTTATTTTTGCACCCCCAGGGATCTGTTCTTTCCTTGTGGCTGGCTGGGTAGAACTGGATTGCAAATAAATATTTTATTTTTCATTTTAAATTTGGCCGGACACATTTTCCTTGATAACAGTCATGCTCCAATGTTGTAAGGTGGATTGCGCCAAAGACCTATTAAAAACTATAAGCATTTAACACGTAATGTAGCATATAAAAGATAGAAAAATACCATTTATTATAGGTAATAGGCATTGGGGAAAAACTATAAACATGTAACTCGTAATGTACCATATAAAAACTAGAAAAACACCATTTAATATAGATATTGGGGGAAAACTGTAAACATGTAACACGTAATGTACCATATAAAAAATAGAAAAACACTATTTAATATAGATATTGGGGGAAAACTGTAAACATGTAACACGTAATGTACCATATAAAAAATAGAAAAACACCATTTAATACAGGTGATAGGCATTGGGAAAAAACTATAAACGGGGTTTTGGGGGTGGGGAAGGGCTGGGGAAGGTTTTGGGAAGGGTTTGGGGAAGTTTTTGGGAAGGGTTTTGGAAGGTTTTGGGAAGGTTTTGGGAAGGTTTTGGGAAGGTTTTTGGAAGGTTTTTGGGAAGGTTTTTGGGAAGGTTTTGGGAAGGTTTTGGGAAGGTTTTGTGAAGATTTTGGGAAGGTTTTTGGGGAAGGTTTTGGGAAGGTTTTGGGGAAGCCCTGGGGAGGTTTTGGGAAGGTTTTGGGAAGGTTTTGGGGAAGGTTTTGGGAAGGTTTTGGGGAGGTTTTGGGAAGGTTTTGGGGAAGGTTTTGGGAAGGGTTTGGGAAGATTTTGGGAAGGGTTTGGGGAGGTTTTGGGAAGGTTTTGGGCAGGTTTTGGGAAGGGATTGGGGAAGGTTTTGGGGAAGCCCTGGGGAAGGTTTTGGGAAGGTTTTGGGGAAGCCCTGGGGAAGGTTTTGGGAAGGTTTTGGGGAAGCCCTGGGGAAGGTTTTGGGAAGGTTTTGGGAAGGTTTTTGGAAGGTTTTGGGAAGGTTTTGGGGAAGCCCTGGGGAAGGTTTTGGGGGGAAGGGTTTGGGGAAGGGCGGGGGAGGGCAGGGGGGGTTGGGGAAGGGTTGGGGAGGGCGGGGGAGGGCAGGGGGGGGTTGGGGTGGCACTTCCAACTGCCCAGGAGGTGGAACTGGAACCCAGCAACGGCCAGAACGGCCGATGGAGCCCAGGCAGGTGCGTGGGGAAGGGGCAGCTCCCCCCGAGCCGGGCGCGCGGGGGGCTCGGGGGTCCCGTGGGAAGCGTTTCCCTCGGGAACATCCCGGGGGGATCTCCTGGAGCTGCCGCCAGCTCGGCTGCCTTGGGACACGCCAGCCAGGGAGCCCCTTCTCCCTGCAGCCCCAGCACCCATGGGTGCTGCCCAGCCCCAGCACTGCCCTGAGCCCGCCCAGTTCTCCCAGTCCCCTCCCAGTGTGGGAATCCAGGGAAATCCCCCCGGCTGCCCTGGGACCCCCGGACAGAGCCCCCAGAGACACTGGCTGTGATCTCTGCCCATGGAAAAGGGTTTTCAGTCTCACAGGATCAATTACCAGCTCTGAGGGTTTGATATCAGTAATAATTAAGTGTGGCACGGGTGCAAAAATTAAAATTTTAGGATTCTAGATGAGGGGTCCAGAGGGGACAAGCTGGAGGAAATTGGGTGTGCCTTGTCCTTTTTCTCCTTCATGCCCTCCATGTCTCACTGTAGTTAAAAGCTTTGAGTGTTTGATATAAGGAATAATTAAACGTGGCAGGGGTGCAAAAGTAAAATTTTAGGATTTTAGATGAGGGGCCCAAAGGGGACAAAATGGAGGAAATTTGGTTCATTTTGTCCTTTTTCTTCTTTTTCCTGCCCTCCATGTTTCACTGTAGTTAAAAGCTTTGAGTGTTTGATATAAGGAATAATTAAGTGTGGCACAGGAACAAAAGTAAAATTTTAGGATTTTGGATTAGGGGTCCAAAGGGGACAAAATGGAGGAAATTTGGTGCATTTTGTCCTTTTTCTCCTCCTTCTTTATGTTTCTCCATGTTTCTCCTCTTCTACATGTTTCACTGTAGTTACCAGCTCTGAGTGTTTGATATAAGCAATAGTTAAGTGTAACACAGGTGCAAAAGTAAAATTTTAGGATTTTGGATTAGGGGTCCAAAGGGGACAAGATGGAGGAAATTGGGTGTGTCTGATCCATGGAAAAGAATTTTCAATCTTAGAGGATCAATTACCAGCTCTGAGGGTTTGAGATCAGTAATAGTTAAAGTGTGGC